CTGACATTTTTTCTGGCATATCTTCTGACATTCTGTCTGGCATATCTTCTGACATTCTTTCTGACATTCTTTCTGGCATTCTATCTGGCATATCTTCTGACATTCTATCTGACATCTTTTCTGACATTCTTCCCGTTGAGGTCCGGCAGTGCCCACTGCGATCTGGAAGTCGCGGTTGAGGTCCGGCAGTGCCCACTGCAATCTGGAAGTCGCGGTTGAGCACCGGCAGTGCCCACTGCAGGGATCTGGAAGTCGCGGTTGAGGTCCGGCAGTGCCCACTGGAAGTCGAGTGCCCACTGGAAGCTCGCGGTTGAGGTCCGGCAGTGCCCACTGCGATCTGGAAGTCGCGGTTGAGGTCCGGCAGTGCCCACTGCAATCTGGAAGTCGCGGTTGAGCACCGGCAGTGCCCACTGCAGGGATCTGGAAGTCGCGGTTGAGGTCCGGCAACTCGCGGTGGAGGTCCGGCTGTGCCCACTGGGATCTGGGCGGAGGAGGCGGAGGAGGAGGAGGAGGAGGAGAAGAGCTCTGTTAAAATCTAGCGACCCTCACCTGGCAGGTGGGGAAATAGAACTCATCAAAGTCTTTCATCCGCCATGCCCCCATAATTGTTTCATCTTTCATGTCCAATCCGCAGTATTGTACAGAAGCCTTTTTCTAAGTGGTGTCTTTAGCAACACATCGCCACCGTGGTTTCTTATCAAGAGTTCGATAGCTTGTTCCTAGACATGAATGGAAAACAGACTCCAGAGACCGAGTTGCAAAACACAAAAGGTGCAAAACGCAAAAGACGCAACAGCGTCTGAAATTGCAGCTCCAAAACCGGATCTCGACGCCAAAGCAGAAAAAAGACGATTTTGAAGCACTCTTTAAAAGGATTTTTACAAGGAAAATTACTAGCGCCAAAATTGCGAAAATCTGCTGACAAATCAATATCGCAGCCTGGATGTAGCCACTCCAATACGATTTACGATCTTCAGCTGCAAAAGAGAATAGTATTACGCATGCAGCCGCGGCAGCAAGCAACCTTGACGCAGCCATTCCAATGCGATCTGCAAGCACGGATTCAAGAAACGCATAGAACTACCTACGCACACAGGAACAAGCACTCGTTTCAAAACACAGAGGAGGAACCAAACGACCCCAGCCGCAACCGCCGCACACATACACGAGGTAGCCACTTTACACGGAAAAACACAAGGTTTCGTGCCCCGGCTTCCTCCCCACAACACAGAGCATGCAACATTCATGCAGCCATTCCAATGCGATCTGCAAGCACAGATTCAAGAAACGCATAGAACTACGCACACAGGAACAAGCACTCGTTGCAAAACATAGAGGAGGAACCAAACGACCCCAGCCGCAACCGCCGCACACACACGAGGTACCTTTCATCGCCGGCCGCAGCCAACACAGAGCATGCAACATTCATGCAGCCATTCCAATGCGATCTGCAAGCACAGGTTCAAGAAACGCATAGAATTACGCACGCAGGAACAACAGAACAACCACTTGTTGCAAAACACAGAGGAGGAACCAAACGACCCCAGCCGCAACCGCCGCACACACGAGGTACCTTTCCATCGCCGGCCGCAGCCACTTTACACGGAAAAACACAAGGTTTCGTGCCCCGGCTTCCTCCCCACAACACAGAGCATGCAACATTTATGCAGCCATTTCCCTTCGTCACCACTTCCCATCCTCACCACTTCCCTTCGTCATCACTTCCCTTCGTCACCACTTCCCTTCGTCACCACTTCCCTAGGTCACCACTGCCCTTCGTCACGACCCTGTGTCATAGCCTCTTATTCTTTTGTGATGTATTGTTATGGGATGTTAAGTCTCAGACCACCCTGCGTCATAGCCTCTTATTCTTTTGTGATGTATTGTTATGTGATGTCAAGTCTCACACCACCCTGTGTCATAGCCTATTATTCTTTTGTGATGTATTGTTGTGCGATGCAAAAGACACACACCACCCTTCATCAATGTCAAATCTCACAATTCTATTTGTCCGTAACACGGAAGTATTGCTTCCCAACTTCCTTTGATAATTCAATTAAAAATACTAGTCATCCAATCCATCGAAACCAAATATATAGAAATAAATCATAATAAATCTATCAAAAAAGATATACCATTGGCTTGGCCTAAGGGACTCTTCTAGCCAGGGCAAGATGAAGGGGAAACTGCACGACAGGCACAGCCTATCATCTTTGATCGCTTCTAAAATCCGGATCATTTGTTCCAGGGTCATGTTTGCCCTGTTCTGTTGGATAGCTGAACCCGAAAATGCCACGGATGATTTGGATCATATGCTCAGATTCAATTCATCAAGATATACCAAGATTCAATGACATCATTCATTGTTGAAGATTGTGAAGCTTCCAACAATCATGAGCAGAATTGTGTTTCTTGATATCAAGCCCATAGCTTACTCAGTGGGTTACCTCGCAGGAAACAAAACTTATTATTTTTGGGTGGGGTTTAAAGTTTGGACACGTGCTAAGTCTGGTTTTCACCCCCGGCCAGTAAATTAACAAAAGGTTCCCACTGACAGATGCTGATGCTGATGTTGTTGATGATGATGATGATGATAATTGATGATGATGATGATGATGGTGATGATGGTGATGATGATGACGATGGTGATGATGATGGTGATGGTGATGATGATGTTGATGATGATGATGGTGATGATGATGATTTTGATGACAATGATGGTGTGAATGGTTCTACCAACCATTATAATGATGATAAGTTGAACTTCGGTAATAATAATGAACATTATTGGAATCATGTTGAATCAATGGCGGTTGTGGATGGAACTAAATGAATATTCTTTATAAAAACATGTTGTCACTTTTTGGCTTCCTCAACATCTGGCCAGTAGACTGGTCCTTGTTCTGTAGGTTTGAACTTTGTAACTGCCTGTCACCGTTGCCGTTTTTTCTGCTGGGAGATAAGATTGAAATGAATGAAATGAATGAAATGAATGAAATGAATGAATGAATGAATGAATGGAATGAATGGAATGAATGGATGAATGGATGAATGAATGAATGGATGAATGGATGAATGAAATGAATGAAATGAATGAAATGAATGAAATGAATGAAATGAATGAAATGAATGAATGAATGAATGAATGAATGGAATGAATGAAATGAATGAAATGAATGAAATGAATGAAATGAAATGAAATGAAATGAAATGAATGAATGAATGAATGAAATGAATGAAATGAAATGAAATGAAATGAAATGAAATGAAATGAATGAATGAAATGAATGAATGAATGGAATGAATGAATGAATGAATGAATGAATGAATGAATGAATGAATGAATGAATGAATGAATGAATGAATGAATGAATGAAATGAATGAAAGAATGAATGAACGAATGAATGAATGAATGAATGAAATGAATGAATGAATGAATGAATGAAATGAATGAATGAATGAATGAATGAATGAATGAAATGAATGAATGAATGAATGAATGAATGAATGAATGAAAGAATGAATGAAAGAATGCAAGAATGAATGAAAGAATGAAAGAAATGAATGAATGAATGAATGAAATGAATGAATGAAATGAAATGAAATGAAATGAATGAATGAATGAATGAACGAGCAGAAAAGGCAAACAAGTGAGAGATGAGCTGATGCGATGCCCAACCACAAGTCGGAACCGAGATTGGAGATACATATTAAACTACCCAGATAATTACTGGAATTAATTATATCCTCACCAATAGGCAAATATATAGTTGACTTGAACCTGGATATAGGTTAAGGGCTAGGCATCTTATTGGCCATAGCCAAGCATACACAACCCCGTTGCTCAACTAAAATGACCCCCGAGCCCAGGGGACATTTTATAACGTGGCATTAGGGAATATGTCGTCAGAATGCGGCGTCAGGGGGGAATGTGGCGTCAGGGAATGTGGCGTCAGAATGTGGCGTCAGGGGGGAATGTGGCGTCAGGGAATGTGGCGTCAGCGTGGAATGTGGCGTCAGGGGGGGAATGTGGCGTCAGGGAATGTGGCGTCAGAATGCGGCGTCAGGGGGGGATGTGGCGTCAGGGGTGGTGAATGTGGCGTCAGGGAATGTGGCGTCAGAATGTGGCGTCAGGGGGAATGTGGCGTCAGGGGGGAAGGCGGGGGAATGTGGCGTCAGAATGTGGCGTCAGGGGGAATGCAGCGTCAGGGGGGGGAATGTGGCGTCAGGGAATGCGGCGTCAGAATGTGGCGTCAGGGGGAATGTGGCGTCGGGGGGCGGAATGTGGCGTCAGGGGGGAATGTGGCGTCAGGGAGGAATGTGGCGTCAGGGAATGTGGCGTCAGAATGTGGCGTCATAGGGGAATGTGGCGTCAGGGGTGAATGTGGCGTCAGGGAATGTGGCGTCAGAATGTGGCGTCAGGGGGGAATGTGGCGTCAGGGGGCGGAATGTGGCGTCAGGGAATGTGGCGTCACAGCATCAGGGAATGTGGCGTCAGAATGCGGCGTCAGCGTCAGGCCGTAAAGTGCTACACCGTCTGCCGCCACCCTGAATTTTCAATAGCTATGTTAGTTTACCAGAGGGTATGTTATCCCATTAATATTAATTGTCACCACTTGAAGCCGACAATTCCACTGGGTGCACGGCTTCGTTGAGGCGATTCCTCTCCGATCCCCACGGCCTGACGGCTTCCTGGGCAGAGAAGGAGAGCCGCAATGGGCGGGCCGCTCAATGGTTTTGTGGGGGTCCCAATTTTGAGACAACCTCATATATTATATCATATTATATCATATTATATCATGGTGACTCATATTATTATATCATATTATATCATATTATTATATCATATTATTATATCATATTATTATATCATATCATATTATTATATCATATTATGATCGAATTGTGACTCCGTGCATAGCATGGTCGGATCAAAAGGTGCGGACAGCCGCCATAGGGTTTCATCATGGTAGCGTAGACCTCGGTTCGTTCAGTGGCCATGGAGGGTCAGACGAGCCCTACGGCATCAACTGGTGGGGACATCCTGGTACAGCTGCAGGCCCAACTACAAGTTCAACAAGAACACCTACTTCGGCAGGAGCAGATGGTGAACGCCATGCAGCTGCAACTGAATGACAGTATGACAAGGATGCAGCGAGCTGAGGAGGAGCGCAACATGGTGCTCAAGCTGGCTGCGAAGAAGGGTGAGGATCTGATGGATAGCAAAGGTGTTGGACAACCCTTCAAGTTTTCAGGAAAAGCCGACCAAGATTTCAGTGAGTGGAATCATAAATTCAAGACATTCATGAAGGCCAAGTACGGTGAGGAGGTTGACAAGATCCTGAGCTGGGCAGTGAAGCAGCGCAAGGTCATTGTCAAGGAGAATGACCCCTTCAGCGACAGACAAGTGGCTTGGGGCGACGTCTTTGGGGATGGAGCCGATTTGACAGACCAGATCGACAACGTGGACAACATGGTTGGTGGATTGATGGCCTACCTGGTGAGCTTCACGACAGGGGAGGCCAACAAGGTTGTGAGAAATGCAGGCAGTGATGGCGTCGAAGCTTGGCGCCGGCTGTTGAATGAGTTCGATCCAACATCAGCCATGCGGAGAGTTGTGATTTTGGGGATGGTTCAAAACCCCCAGAAGTGCCAGAAGATAGAGGATTTGGGTGCCTGCTTGGAGGATTGGCTGTCCAAGAAACGACAGTATGAGGAGTTCACGGATGGCCAAGGCAACCCATGCAGAGTGAGCGATGACTCTTTGATGGCCGGGCTCTATAAACTCATGCCGGAGTCCTTGGAGGAGACGGTGATGTTCAAGCAGGACGAGTTCAACAACTTCGAGTCGCTCTTTGACAAGCTCTCATCCTTTGCGACGGTTCGACATAGCCTTCAACTTTCTCGTCGAGATCTATCTGGTGGCAACTTCAAGCAGAAGAAGGACCCGGATGCAATGGACATTGGGGCTGTGAGCAAAGGCAAAGGCAAGGGCAACAAAGGCAAATCGCCTCCTTCGGGCAAAGGCAGCAGCTTCAACAAGATGACTTGCTACAAGTGCGGCAAGGCTGGTCACAAGGCTGCGGATTGTCGTTCAGGAGGAGGAGGCAAGAAGGGAGACAAAGGTGCCAAGAGGATCGACAATGTGCAGTGCTGGAATTGCTTCAAGTACGGGCACTATGGCAAGGACTGTTGGTCGAAGAAGTCCGACGACAAAGGCAAGGGCAAAGGCTCTGGAAAGAAGGGCAAGCAAAAAGGAGGTCAGGCCAATTCGGTCGAGTCAGCTGGACAACCCGAGAAGGAGCCAGAGTTGTCTCACTTGGACCTTTGTGCTGTGGAGGAATATCCGAGCTTCACAGGTGAGGATGGCAATGAGTACCTCTCCGTGACGGTCAATGCAGATCGAGGCAGTGCGGGTGCAAGCAGCGGACAAGTGGGGAGCATTTTCGCTCGTCGACACCTTCAAGGAGGAGAAGTGGCGACAGGGTCATCAGGGCCTGTAGTGAGGTCAGCACCAGCAGCAACACCAGGAACCACAGAAGCAGTTGGAGGAGTTGAACGACTTGGACCCCGTTGTGACGCCAGCAGGAGCAGAGATGTCACGAGGTCTAGATCGAGACAGAGGTTTGAGGAGACTTCCCAATCAGAAGTGACTGAGGTGCAGGATGTGGACCACAACAGCATGTTTGAAGAAGGTGATGCTCCTGGCAATCCAGACTACATGGTCAGGTGGAATGGAGAAAACTGGATCCGCCTCAACTACGACTCAGGTGCGGTTAGCACTGTGATCCCGGTGGAGATGGCACATCAAGGAGGAGTTCATCTTCGCCGAGTTGGAGATTATCGAGTGGCCAATGGTGACAGGATCCCTCGGTATGGTCGGGTTCGAGTGCCTTGCACCGATGAACAAGGAGGTCGCAGAGGCTTCAGGGCGACCGTGACTCATGTGCACAAACCCCTGGGATCAGCGGGGGAGTTCAGTGAAAATCACGATGCCTACATCTTCAAGGAGGGTGGCTTCCTGGTTGCTCGAGAGAGTGCAATGGCAGTTTCGATTCGTCAGCACATTGAGGAGTGCAAGGCGATCTATGGCATGAACGATGTGGTCGAGCTGCACAAAGAGGGCAATCTCTACAACATCTACCTCAAGCAGCGTGGCAACATCCAGGAGATCAATGCCCTTGATCGTGGGTCTCCGAGTGGGTCCCCAAACGAGCGGCAGGGATAGCCGTAAGGCCGGCTCGTGAGCTCAGCAGCGTGGGAGAAGAGGAGGATGGAATTAGCCCATGGATGGGCTGGTCATTGGCTGAAGCGTCAATTGACTACATGCATCCAAAGGGTGGCTCGGAGTCAGACATTGCAGACTACCCCAAGCCGCCTGGAATTCTCGATGGTGCACGACTTGCAATCCGAAGAGATTACAATTGTTTCACAACAAGGAGTACTTGGACTGAAGGGCCATTTTGGCCGCAAGTTTTCAGAAGATTGACCTACGGTGATGGTGGAGATCTACTTTTTGATGACGAGATCACCGACAACATGTCCTTTGACGATATCCACAAGAAGTTCGAGCCCATGCAACACACCTTGGAGACACACCTCTGGTACATGCCCGAGTCCACGGAGGGTGTCAAAGTCAAGAAGCAGCCGAAGGTGGAGACGCCAAGCAAGAGCCAGATAGAGGAGCATGAGGCGCAGAACCATGCGGTCTACCGCAACTGGTGCGAAACGTGCATCAGGGCAAGATCTACAGGATCGGTCCATAGGAAGAGGACGCCAGAGGAGAAAGCAGATGATGGACCAACAGCCCATTGTGACTTTTTCTTTCTTCAATCATCACCGTTTTTGGCTTTGAGGATGACGCCTTCCGGGAGATATCAGGCAGTCCCACTTCTAGACAAGAGCAACAGCGACTACACCCAGAAGGCAGTGATGAGGTTTCTACGTGAGAGTGGTCACAAGAGGCTGGTGTTCAAGAGTGACAATGAGCCTGCTTTGGTGGCGATCAAGAATGCGGTGGCTGAGAGACTTCCAGATGTGGAGATCATCCAGAAGAACAGCCCTGTGGGAGATCATCAAGCCAATGGGATGATCGAAGTGAGCATCCGAGAGTTGAAAAGGCAGATGAGGGCACTGAGGATGAGTTTGGAGTCAAAGCTCAAGAAAACCTTGGACAACAATCATCCTTTGGTGGCTTGGATGGCTAGCTTTGCAGCCGAAGCTTTGAACGTCTTCCGAAAGGATTCAAGTGGGAAGACGGCCTATGAGAAGGAACTTTCTCGGAAGTGGACGAAGCCCTCGTTGGAGTACGGGGAGAAGGTCTACATCAGGGAGGCCAAGGAGAAAGATGGGAGGCTCGACTGGGAGCCGATGTCAGTGGCAGTCCGCTTCATTGGTCACCATGCGCGGACCAACTCAGTGATGGGATTGTCTGAGGATGGCCTGAAGATTGGCCAGGCAGTCAAGCGGCTGTCGATGGATCAGAGATGGACCCAAGATGGCCTTGAGGAGTTGACAGGCTATCCATGGGATGTGAAGTCAAGGGCCCGATCATCAGAAGGGACCCATGTGAATTGATTGGAGGCGCCGTCGAGAGAAGCGGTGCGACTTCCTCCACCACTTGACGATCTACCTGGACTTGGGAGGTCGTTCTATGTCATGAAGGCCGACGTGGAGAAACATGGTTTTACGGCTGGATGCCGTGGTTGTGCTGCAGCTCAAGCTGGAGGTGTAGCAGTGGCACATGGCAGCAAGTGCCGGGAAAGGATCATGAGATTGGTAGACCCAGATCGGGTCAAGAGGCATGCCGAAAGAAGAGAAGCACGTGCAGAAGTACGAGATGAAGAGAAGAAGCGAAGAGATGCAGCAGGTGAATTCTCCATTGAGGGGGAACAGAAGCCTGAGAAGAAGAAAGTTCGATTTGAACTTCCAGTTGGATCCAACATCGAGGACAAGGTGGACAAGAGGGAAGCTGAGGGAGATCACCCTACTTCGTCAAGTTCACCTACAAAGAAGATGAGAAAGGAGGGCCTTTTGGGCCAGAAAAGATCGGCCGAAACATCGCTGCAGGAACTTGATCCAGCGGCAACTGGAGCAGATGAGCCTGAATTGGTGAGATTGGATGTGGATGCGCCAGAGATTGCAGTTGGGGCGCAAGACGTGACTGTGGAGGATGTTCTTGGTGGTGGCACTTCATCATTGCCGAGTGCTACGTTGAGTTCATCTACATCATTGCAGAGGTCTTCACAGCAGAACCCTGCGGATGACATCTCATCCTTGGACATTGTGGACTATGACATCCACATGAGTGACGGCAAATGGAAAGGCCTGGAGGCCTTGGATGTGGTGGAGCGCCAGATTGAGGCGCGAAAGGCTCAGATTGGAGCCGTTGATGTGGCTGAGATCTTCAGTCCCCCAAGGTTCACAGCGGGAGCTCCTCACCTTGGATTGAATCCGGGCTTTGCTGTGGATCTGCAGACTGGCTGGGACTTGGACAGTGAGAAGGACCTGAAGGCCCTGGACAAGTTGATGAAGGAGCAAGACCCATTCTTGTTGACTGGGAGCCCAAGATGCGATCCATTTTCAGTGCTGAGGTTCTTGAACAAGAAACGCCTCAGTGATCCCAAACATCTTGAAGCTCGAGAACGTGGAGTGAGGCATCTACGTCTTTGCATCGAGAAGTACAAAGAGAGGCACAAGAAAGGCAAGTATTTCCTCCATGAACATCCTGCTCAAGCAGACAGCTGGGATGACGAGAAGATGGTGGAGCTGCAACGACTGGTTGGCCCTATGTGTGCGTGGGGCATGGCTTTATCAACACATCGACAAGGGCATGGTTTGGTCTATAAGCCCACCAAGTTTGTCACCAAGTCCAGGGAGATTGCACAAATCCTGGACCGCCACTGTTTGAACAGGAGAGGAGGTCCGGTTCATCGACATGTATCCCTGATTGGTGGCCTTGCACATCTTTGTGCGCAGTATCCACAAGAGCTGGTGAATGCGGTACTGGAGGGCATCAAAAGACAGATGATGCGAGACAATGTCTTGAGTTCGGTGGAATCATTTGCAGCTGGTCCAGTGCCAAGTGAAGCAACTTTCACAGATGAGTGGCAGCGGGAGGCCGAGCAGTTCTTTGATGACATCAGTGGTGAGGAACTTCCCGCAGAAGGAGTCAGAAAAGCTCGTATGGAAGAAGTGGCCTGGATCAAGAAGATCGACTTGTACACGAAGGTGCCAAGACAGCTAGCAGTTAGCCGTGGGAAACAAGTTCTTCCTGTGCGCTGGGTCGACATCAACAAAGGTGATCGACATCATGTGAAGTTGAGGTCGAGGATAGTTGGCAAGGAGCTGAAGGCGAAAACCAAGGAAGCGCTATTAGCGCATGAATTGTTTTCTGCGACTCCGCCATGGGAGGTCATCAAGGGCTTGTTCTCGCTGCTGGTCACCGACCCCAAGGAGGACACTGAGAACAAGTTCGGCAACAACTACAAGCAGGACAAAGACCTGGTGGTTGGAGTGTTTGACATCTCGCGAGCCCACTTCATGCCCAAAGCACAACGGGAGCTCTACATCGAGATTCCAGAAGAGGATCGTGAAGAAGGAGATGGAGATGTTGTTGGACGTCTCAACAGAGGCATGTATGGATTCAGGGATGCTTCGAATGCCTGGATGAAGGATTGGCAAGATGTCTTGAAGAGCGGTGGCTTCACCGTTGGAGTTGCAAACCCCGCTCTCTTTCTCAACGAGGAGGACAATTGTCGTGGCGCAGTTCATGGTGATGACTTCTATGTTCTGGGACCAACCTATGCGGTGGACAAGGTGAAGGACATGCTGAACCACAAGTACCAAATGAGAGAGAGTCATCGCCTGGGCTTTGGAGAAGGATGCACCAGGAAGGCGACAGGCCTCAACCGGGTGGTGTCGCTTGGCGAGACAGGTGGTCGCCGTTGGGTGCGTATAGAGCCTGACAAGAGGCACATTGAGCTGATCGTTGAAGGAGTTGGCCTCAACATGAATTCAGCTGGAGTGACAACGCCTTCAATAAAACAGACTGATGCGCAGGCAGCAGCATTGGAGACGTCAGCTGATTTGAGTCCAAAGGATGCTTCGAGGTATCGTTCTGGAGTGATGAGGGCGAGCTTTCTTGCCCAAGAACGAGCAGACATTGCAGAAGCTGTCAAGAGGATGGCGCAGGGCATGGCAAAGCCGAAGCTAGCTCATTGGGAGTTGCTGAAAAGATTGGCGCGCTACTTGATCAAGTACCCCAACATTTGCTTGGTTTATCATCAACAACGGATGCCAGATTTCCTGAGAATCGCCGTTGACTCAGACTTTGCCGGCGACAAGGTTGGGAGAAGGAGCACTACAGGAATGGTGCAGTTCTTCGGAAGTCATGTTCTGAAGGCAACAAGCAACCTTCAGACAGTGCTTGGTTTGAATGTTAGCGAGGCTGAGTACTACGCCTTGACGCATGGAGCTGCTCATGGTCTTGGGATGCAGAGCTACTTCCAGGACATTGGGCTGAGCTTGGGCGTGGTGCTTGAAAGTGATTCGAGCAGTGCAAAGAGCTTTGCAAGCCGACAAGGGCTAGGTCGACAAAGACATGTTCAAGTACGATATCTTTGGCTTCAACAAGCCGTGGCCAAGCACAACGTAGTGGTCAGGAAGATCGGAACCAAGAGCAACGTCAGCGACATCCTGACGAAGGCCAGCGATGCAACGACCATCGCAAGGCATCTGAAACAAATGGGTCTAGAGACTCATATTCCAGATAATTCATTGCAGAGGACGATCTATTGAGATCAGCCAGACTCCGCTACCAACTGTCTTACACGAAAACCGTGTTCGACAGAGGAGGAGTGATCGAATTGTGACTCCGTGCATAGCATGGTCGGATCAAAAGGTGCGGACAGCCGCCATAGGGTTTCATCATATTATTTTATCATATTATTATATCATATTATTATATAATATTATTATATCATATTATATCATTATACATGTATTGTTGACATGACAATGTGAAAATGAATGGATTCAATCAAAACATCAAAGAGGTAAAAGTTGGGTGGGGCCGGGGCCACTAACATTGGTCCCTGAAACCGAGTTCCATACTTTCAGCCATGCATGCAGTTTGGTTGCTACATCTGAGTTGCACCCCATAGGCCCCATAGGGTCCTGGGCCCCAAGGAACCATCACGACCCTCCGGTATGACTCAGGAGCCGGCAAAGGCTGAATGGCTCCTGGGCTCATTTCTGACCAAGAAACTGGTAGCGTGGAGCCCAGTTGGAGCACGGGTATCAGGTTTGAAGTGAAACGTCAACTATAGTGGTTGTTATTAGTCTTATTGTTATTATAGTTAGTAACTCTTTCTGGTAACTAAATTTATAACTATTGTAAGTTATTGGTATAGTAACTCTTTGTTATTAGGGTTGTTTTTAGGAAGAATTGACTGGTGTTTGATACATGTCTGCCATTGAATCTCGAAGGATGGGCAACTGGGAGGTGCTCAAGGGCGAGCAGCGGCCCGTGAGGCATCGGGGAGATGGCAGACATAGAGCCTGCTGTCCTGTAATATTAAAAATGGTAAGTGTAAACTTGATAGTTGGTACTTTTGTTATGGTATAGTAGTATAGTAATACCATGTAATACCTGAGTAGTTAGTTAGGTATGGTAATATGGATCATATATGATCATATATGCATATAGTTTATACTAGTTTAAACACAGGTATATATAAACCTGTAACATGGAAATGCAATTATAGGTCAATTTCATAAGGGCTTCTCTGGCAATGGTCGGAAAACATGGACAAAAATGAAGGCTACACGGCTACACCCTCAAAGTGAAGATGCCTTTGGCCATGAAATCATTGTTTGGTCATGGGAGAGGCAGCTGCCCAATGCTGCCCAGACCCTGAAAGTCCTGATATGTTATGGCCACACTAGGTCACTAGGTGACTGTGTGCCAGAGCATAGGGTCGAAACTGATTCACTACCAGAAACCAGAAACCAGATAACGAACACCGGCTTGTCTTTCTCAAGACTGAGGACTCATTGCACCATTGCACCATTGACTAAAAAAAAGAGGCACCTCGGCCAACTGCCCTTTGCGCTCCAGGCAGCTGCGCGTGCCATCAGTCTGGAGGTGCTCCCAGTGGCATGTCATCCTCAAGTCATCTCAAGTCACTCTTGTCCACAATCCGCTGGTGTTTCAATGCTTTTCCAACGGCAACATTCTATGTTCGGGGTATCCCTGATTTTCCTCGTTTGTCCGGCCGGGGCCCGGGGTCAGAGTCGTTCATGACTGGGCCTATGACTTGGATGATCTCCAATGGAGGCTCAAAGAGAAAGGGCAAGGTGCATCCGTGATTCTTGTCGTCTCCTGTCGATGGAAGCAGCCAATCTACTGACTGTCTTGTGATTGGCTTTCCTGTGGAAGATGTTGGGTTTACCATTTCAATGTCTGAAGATGTCTGAAGGTTTTGAGATCATTCAAGATTTTGCTGCAAGCACTTGCCCTGGAAGTCGTTTCAACAGCTGATGTTGGATGATTTTGGTACATTAATACAGCTGGAAAGTTCGGTTGTTTGGAGTATTTTTAACTTCGTAAGTTCGGCTTTGATATTGTTACTGGCTCAACCTTGGCTAGATACTTCAGTACTTTCATCTTTTGCTATGGTAAAAGCTACTAACACGCTAAAAAGCAGACGTTTTGCTGGGTATTTACAGACTCTCTGCCACCAGGAACGCCATGTCGCCGGGAAGGGACCTGAACGCGGAAGCGAGGCATGGCGAGGGTGGCTGACTCATACCACTTGGGGACGGATTATACCATCCATTAAAAACAGAAAAAAATGCTGATGACTTGGATGATTTCTGGGGTTTACCACATTCACGGATGCATCGCGGTAGGCTACTCAAATGGAGATGTTAGATTCTATAGATGGATTAGGCAAAATAGTACTCAAAATTTAGTATTGCATGATAGGTATTATAATATGATATTATCTAGTATTTAAGATCGTCTAACCAATTTATATAGTATCTATATAGTATATGTATGTAGTATTATAATACAATGAGGATTTAAGATCATCTAACCACCAAACATGCAGCTTGGTTGTACGGTCCAGGCTTGGCTTGTCCAGTCCACGACGCGGTGACTTTGTGGAGAGCCTTGTTGGCAGGGAAGAACTGCAAAAACAAACAACAATTGGATTGTATAATATTTGCCACTAAACGATATATATTATATAAATAGACCCATATTTATATATATATATATGTATAATACAAGTAAAGTATAGTACTAATTAGTCAATTATGACCATTTATGACCTATTGATAAAAAAAAAATATCAGATTACTAACCGTATATATTATAGTCAAAAAGATAAACAAGTGGCGTGTGATTTTACTTGTTCAATCTTTTGGGTGTGTGTGTGCTATTGTTGCGTGTGTCTTTGAGACTGGGACCGCTTTGTACACAGCTTGGGACGTTTTTTATCAATGAGACGGGCAAACATGTAGGTTGATGACACGGTTTGTCCCATCATGCAGTTCCTGGAAATCAGAGATTCATTCAGAGAGACACATCTGAGAGTTTAAGCTTCTTGAACTCTCCATGTTAATGTTCTCGTCTCTGAGGGATACAAAAACAACAAAGAACTGTTTGTTTTTGTTGCTGGCTATTCGGCTTTTATGAACATGGGGTAGTCTAAAATCATAAAATCATCCGAAATCCAATGGTTAAAAATCACATATATATATATATATAATAATAATAATAATCATAATAATAATATAATATAATATAATATATAATATTATATAAAATTTATAATATATATATAATATAATATAATATATATTATTATTATATTATATATATATTTAATATGATATATAAGATATAATTCTTCCCTTCCCAAATGGTGCTGGGAGATCTATCCCGCATCCTGCAGCACTTGGTCCACTTGGTCTCAACGAGGTCCCCCCGGGGCTCTCCTACGTCTCGGCAGCGGAGCCTACAGCGATCCCATTGGAAGGAGATCATCCGCATCCAGTATAGAAACATGATTTAAGAGTACTTGTCCGCAATCCAACATATGGGTATGGATCAATACCTCTTAATACCATTTTTAGTGGGATGAACATCCATTTACCAGCTATTTTGATGTTCACCAGGGGTACAAGGTTTTGACACACTGCCATATTAATATTGCTAAAATTTAAAAACTATAGCCTGATTCCCACGAATCATGCGGATAGTAGTGACAATTCCAGAAGTTTTCGGGACGCTGCTTCCTCGACCTAGGGTATGGCATGCATGTTTTAGCTCTGGGAGTTTCAGCTCCACAGGTTGCCATGGGTCAGGCTGTATCGCTGAGGAACTGAAAAGGGGTGGTCATCATTTTCAAACATTACTGGTTGGTGGTTTGGAACATGGCTTTTATGACTTTCCATATATTGGGAATAATCATCCCAACTGACGAACTCATATTTTTCAGAGGGGTTGAAACCACCAACCAGATTTGGACAGTCACTTGTACAATCATTGCTGACTTTAGGCGTTCAGGTTCATCTCTTCATGTCAATTCGAGTACCATCTGGACGACGGACAACAGCAGGAGGCAGGGTTAGCGGAGCGAAAAGGAATCTCGTTGGGAGCCTCAGTGAGCGTCGCGTGAAAACTGGCTTTCAACCTGATGGCACCGGAAAATGGTGTGTATATTTGGCTCTATAGATGTATTATGTACACAATTCATACACAGACACAATATATATATATATATACACATGTAATTATATATGTATACGTATATAGACAATGGACAGCCGATTTCTATTTTCCATCTCCCTCTCTCTCTCTCTCTCTCTCGCTCTCTATCCTTCTTTGTCTTGACACAATATGACATATTGCATAAACGCGCATACATTATGATATATATACATATACATACGTACATATACATACATTAGTACATACATACCAAGTACATATACATTGACATTATGTTACATACATATATCATGTATAATGCATACATATATATATATATATTACATTATATAATACATCATATTTTAAAATGGCACCGCCCTCAAGGCGCTCCAGCAGCGCGCCCCCCATGCGCGCGGCCAGCTCCCAGTGGCCCAACAAGATGCCAGGTGTCGATGATGTGGTTTTTTTTTGGGCGTTCTGAACCAACAAAAATGGGGAAAACCATGGATTTTATGATTTGTTTATGATATTTATGATATTTTATGATATTTTGTGATATTTTATGGAGATTGCATGGGCATATGATGGGGAGATTGAAGCAGCAATTTAAGATACTTGTGATATTTGGATGTGTATGGATATGGATTGTTTTCAGGAAATTGATGATAAAAAGATGTTTTCAAGCCCGAATTGGTGACCCTATGTGACCATTCAAGCTATTGATAATTATAGGGACAGAGAAAATTTATCCATGAATTCATGGCTACCTTAACCTATATAGATATCCTGATATGGCATCACACGGCCACTTTTGTGACCACAGAGTTGTTCAGGCTGAAGTTCAGGTAGTATATAACTCCATGAGGGATGTTTTGGTTTCTACACATTCTTGCGGAAGGTTCCAATTCTATATACCTTACCTCATTCCCACTTCTACTTAGTCAAACCTGCAGAATGCTGGATTTCCTTTTGATACCCTCTGGTAAATTAACATAGACCCTGAAAATCACCCATGTTTAATGGAAACTAGTCTTCCAACCCCTATCTGCCAGGGTCTATGTTAATTTCCCAGAGGGTAATTGAGTTCCTAGCCATTGTCAGTGGCCTACATCCTGCTTTCACATGGTGACAGGTGGAGAACAAGGTATCATGGAGTTGCTGAGTCAGTGGCCTCAGTGAATTTTCCAACATCTCCAGCCAGCATGATTTTCCTTGGAGTAGCATGAGCTAGATAGGTGATGTTGGCTAAATTTCTACTGGTTACTATGTGCGCTGCACTTAAACTGATGTTCCTAGTTGCAAATGTGCATCAATACCGATTTTGTACCCAGTTAGGGTATGTAACCCAGTTTCTGACCAGTTAAGTAACTCCATGGCCCATCTGAGACTTCCAGCCAGCATTTTCCAGCCATCAGTCAGCAAGGAAGGTGATTCTGGCGAAGGGTTTATTTATCGAATTTATCCATGCCTCTGAAGGCTCAGATGTGTACTGGGTCAGAAACCAAACACCCATTGAAATAGGTTGCTGTTTGCAAATGGTTTATTCATGTTTATTCTATTCGTTGTTGGGATGTAAACTGCAAGGCACCAGACTGAAATAGCCCATAACATCCCACCCAGAACCAAGGTGTCTTTCTCTTCAGCTGCTGTAGAAATAACCTCATCACATCAAACAGTGAGAAACGGAAGCTGTGTGTCACAACAAAGCATTAATTAGGTTGAATTGTTACAGGTCTGAACTTGACTGGTTCCATGGAAAAACATGGAACATAAGTGAGCCCGGAAGTCCTTCACCTTGTTCCCACCTCCCAATCTCGGCTTTCAAGGTCAC